GACAAGACCTGAAGAATGTATGACTTTAGAGGAGGAGGAGGAGGAGGAGGAGGCGCGGCCCTCTACGGCAGCTGAGAGGTGAGTTGATGATGTCACCGACATATAAACAATTAATACCACATATATTTGACATAGACTTTAGTCAAATAAATATATTTAGACCAGCGATCCCCAACCTTGTTGTTCCAAGGACTGGTCAGCTGGTACAGGACCCGACCGCGGACCGGAAGTGTCGCGCTGATCATCGAGCTTTTCAAAATAAAACGTTGTTTAGACTTTATTCTGTCAGTGTCGGAGACTGAAAAGGAGTCGTATTATTTTGAAATTTTAACTGATTAACTTAAGATAAAGAAATGACCAGATTCTCTGTGGCCCGGTGTTAATTGACACACGGACCACTACTGATTCCATGATCCGGGAGTTGAGAACCCTGGCTGTAGACTGTGTGTTCAGCCAGCGTTGTTCTCTCTCTCTCTCTGCGCTTTAGTCTTTAGTCAAATAAATATATGTAAACATCAGCGGATGGAAAACTACGATCTTAATCACAGGGCGGCTGTGGATTAATCACGATTAATTGTGATTAATCACTATACTCCACTAGTTGTCCTGAACAACTGACTCTCTGACACAGGCCGGGGCCGCGGACCTGAGGTTGAGCCTCCACAAACACGTGATGGGATTTTTAAGATCCAGGAGATTCAGTGAAACTGAAACCCTTTCCCACAGTGTGTGTAAATAACAACTCAGGACAGACCAATAGGAAATCTTAAATATATATATAAATATAAATAGTAATATAATACAGTCTGTGTATAAGCAGTACTAATACAGTGTTTTTGGTACGACGGAGTTTTTACTGGGTACCATGGGAGTGTATTATGGTCAGACCCACTGTGTTTATGTTTTCCACTGGTTCCTCCAGACTGGATTCTTCTAATGGTTCTTCTCTGTGTGGTTCTCTGGGACCTACTGTAATTAGTCCAATCTGCTGAAGCAGCGTTTCACAGAATGGAAAGGTCTGGGCTGACGGGAAAACAAATTTCATCTTATTTTTAAGGAACCAGAACCTCGAGGAGCCGAGTTTCTAACCCAGACGTGTGTGTGTGTGTGTGTTAAACCACAAACACACACATTTTTATAGGTTATTCTCTTTCGTCACCAGCAGGATTGGAGTCAAAAAGTTCTGAGACAAGTATTTACAGTATAGCCACCGTATATTTCTACATCAACGTCAATGTCCCAGCACACTCTCTTCTTCAGGGGTGTCCATTATAGAATTCTGGAGGATGACCTTTGACACCAGGTCACAAAAAAATACAGTTTCCTTTAAATGTTTTTTCTATTTTCTAGAGAGTTCTAGATCGTCGTTGAATAAAAACCAAACTGTCAGTGAACAGAGTTCTAGATCGTCATTGAATAAAAACCAAACTGTCAGTGAACGTCGTCTGTTGTTTCTCACTTCCTGTCGATACAGACTGGCCAATGGCATCAGTGGGACTGAAGACGAGGACGGGGCAGGTGAGGCCGACGAGGAAGGAGACGCAGATGAGACGCCGACACACGTGGACACTTTCAGCTCCAAGTTTGAAATCAACGTAGAACAGGCTGATACTGAAGTGGAGGAAGAGGAGGAGGAGGAGGAGGAGGAGAAAGACATCAGGGGAAACCAGGACACCTTCAGCTCTGCCTTCGAGCAAATTGTGGAGCAGGTTCAAGTTCATGAGGACGAGGAGGTGGAGGAGGAGGAGGACGAGGAGGCGCAGGGGAGAAGTAAGGTGGACAACAAGGACGGCTTCAGCTCCACGTTTGAGCGGATCGTGGAGTCGGCCCTGCTGAGGGGCGGGACCTGCTACAGCAGCCTGGACTCCCTGGACGTCCTGTCCCTCACGGACGAGACGGACAGCTGCGTCAGTTTTGACGCACCACTGACGCCGCTCATCCAACAGAGGGCGCTGTTACAGGGTCCCGAACCGCTGGAGCTGGAGCTGGCCACCGTAGAGGAGCAGGAAGGGGCCGAGGCTGGACTGGACGCCCCGGGCGCTGACCTCACTGCAGGGGATTGGCCTGTAGGTGGCGCTGCAGCTGTGGCTGGAGCCCAGTGTGGAGGGAGCCCCCTGAGGACCACCATACCAGGGAGCAGGTCAGAGTTCGTCCTGAGCCAGCCTGGACGCTGGGCCATCCCTAATGGATACCACACAGCGTCACCAGGAGGTGGCGCTATGATCAACTCCGTCAGGTAGGAAAAAAAAGTTGACTCCTGCAGTCGAATTAGCTGAGGTTTATGTTCACGGTTACTTTAAAATACATTTATCTACTAACATGTTTAACATCTACCATTACAGTATTATGAAAATATATATGTACATATATATATATAAATATATTTATATATTTTCGTCCTGATTCACACGAATGTTTTCATCACTGACTACAATCCGAGTCATTTACTGAGGGAGAAATGAGAAAAGAAAAGAACAAAAAAACTGTTGTGAAATATGACATTATTTCTGGTTGTCATTGTGTGACCTTGACTTCGCCAGCAGGTGGCGCGAATCCAGCTCTGAGCTGTGAATAGCTGTGAACCTCACCACCTCTGTGTCTCAATGTGTTGATGACAGTTATCACTAGATTCTTAATCATTTTACAAGGATAAATATGTATATATACACATTATAAATATACATTTATATATATTTGTACATATACAGAACATATGTGTATAAATGTACATATATATAAATATATATAGACATATATACCTCTGATGACGTCAGCACCAAGGAGACAAACGTGGCTCTGTAGGTGCAGATCCACGTCGTTTGAACGACATCTGTCTACAATCTATGGGTTTTGTTTTGCAGCACTGCCCCCCCCTC